TCGGAGGGCCACTTGGAGCCTCCCAGACACGGGGCTGTGGACCTTGGCCAGGCGATTAGCTTGGCGGGTCCGAGTGTGAGCAAAGCCACCGCACGGTTTGCAGGTTTGAAGTGAGGCAGTCAGAGCAAAGTCCCTGCAGAGAGCAGGTGTGCGCTGCCTTCAGGGCCCGGCCGGCAGTTCCGGCGGAGGCCAGCAGAGGGCGAGCGCGGACTGGATGCTGGGTTCGTGTGGGAAGGGCCAGGGAGGGCCAGGAGAGGGGCAGTGGGGTCTGGTTCCAGAGGCGGCCCTTGGGACCTCAACTCTGTGCAGCCATTAGTTACCGGATCATGCCTTCATCTGTCCAACAAGAACAAGCCAGGAGCTGAACCCCAAATGAGGCCAGAGGGACCACTGACTTCGGGGGACCCACATCTGGGGGAGGAGAAAAACTCACAACCTGATTGTAGCCACATGGGGTGAGGGGTCGGGGAACCCTCTTAACACAAGGCCACCAGCAGAGAGACTCATCTTTATCTGGAGACCTTGAGACCTGCAGAGGGCCCAGGGAGGTGCCAAGTACCTGGGAGAGGCAGGGAGCTGGTCCCAGTGAGGGCTGGCGGGCGCAAAGGCCCCAGGGCCAGGCCTGCCTGGGAAGCAGAGGCTAGGGATGGCCAGGGCAGCCTGGGCATTTTTTTTTAGGTGATCTCTACGCCCAACGTGGGTCTCAAACTCACAACCCGGAGATCAAGAGTCGCATGCTCTACCGACTGAGCCAGCCGGGTGCCCCCAGTGTGGGCATTTTTAATTCTGCACGTGAGGCTGTCACCTGGGCCTTTGGCTCTGGGGTATGGTCTGGCATTGTGTTCTGAGGCTGGCTGAAGGGAGGTGGGTGTTAAATGGAGTAGGGAATCTGCAGAGTTTGCTTCTGGGTGGGGGAATTTGGGGTGATCTTTGCTTTCTTCGTGGTACTCTTCTGTGTTTTCCAGAGCTTCCGAGGTGAGCTTCTGTTGCTTAAAACACAACTGTTTTCCAAGCAGTAAGATCATCAGGTGGGGCGCTGTATAGTGAGCATGCCCCTCCTCCTCTCCCCTCTCCGCTCCTATTACTTTCCATGTGTCTCTCCAAGTCTACAGACAGTACGAACGGGCACGGAGACGGCCGTCCACCTCTGCCCACAGAGGACGCTCCCGCACATGTCGGTCACCGCCACACGGTCTTCTCCACCAGCAGCGCTCACCATGGGCTCACACTGCTGGGGGCCAGCTCGGGGCTGGCCCTTCAAGACAGGGGCCTGGCTTCCTCCTCCCTGCCCTTCTGGGACACCCCCAGGATGAGCCTGCCCCAGCACTCTGTTTCTCACCTCACCACCCTGTGTGTTTCTTCTTTTTGAGGGGGTTGCCCTGGGGGAGGGGCCGCAGTGGCTGTGCACTCTGTGGGGGTGGGGGGAGCCCCTTCTGGCTGGCCTTCTGGAAAGGCACCGTCAGATGACTGCACAGTGAGAGCGAGACCAGCTTCCTTCAGAAGCTGCAGCCCCGGGCTCACCGTCACATGTCTGGGAAATGAGCGGAGGAGAAGGCTGGGCTGTTAGGGCGGGAGCCGGGCTGTGTGGGGTGAGGGAGCCCATCCTCGCGGGGCACGCCCTGCCAAGCAGGGGTCCCTCCTCCGGGGACAGAACTGGGCACACGAGGGGCATCCTGTGTCCGGGGTGCTGCCGGGGGTGGGGGGCTGGGTCAGCCTTCCTGCCTGTATTCCCAAAGGCCTGAGTGAGGAAAGGACAAGAGGTGAGGGCCTCTGAGGGGGGGGCGGTCATGCCCTACTGGGAGAGGAGGTGCAGCAAGTGTTCAGAAGCGTCTGGGGCACAGGGGATGCCATGGGAAGGGGGAACAGAAGGGGTGGGGGCAGGCTACCTGCCTCGAGAGCCATCGGGCCATCTGGCAGAGCGGGTGCAGGAGTCCACAGGCCCAGCGGGCAGCTGGTGGGCTCTCCTGCGTCCACAGCAGCGTGGACCCCCCTCTCTCTGGGGGGCACTGAGGCCCAGGACAGCGGCCCTCTGCTGCCTCCAAGACCCCAGGCTTCAGGGAGCAGTGGGAGCATGATGTGGGCCCTCCCCGGTCTGCTTGGGGCTGCCCCAGGCCCTCCCCAAGCCCTCCCACTGTGGCTGCCTTGGGTGGAGTTTTGCTTTCTTTTTGGCAGGAAGGAACCTGAGTGGGAATCCCCTGAGCTGCCTGACGACCAGAGTGAGTCACCCCTTTCCAGCCAGCCAGGACTGAGGTGTCACCCGGTCTGAGCTGGTCAGTGGGGGCGGGTCGGCCACTTCCCATTCTGGGCTGGGCTGGGGCTTCCTCTCCCGTTCTCAACTCTGCATGCCTCAAAGGCCTGTCACCAGAATCAAAGTTTTAAAAAATGTGTGTGTGAAAATCCTCGGGAACGGCAAAGTCAAAGAGCATTTTCCTGCTGAAACCACTGGCAGGTACTTAAAGATCGGCCCAGCCCTGCAGGCGCCGAGGCCTGCAAGTGGCTGCCTGCCCAGGAGGCAGGAACTTTGCGAGGGAAATCTCTTCTGGACTCGGGGCCACATGGTCCCCAATCCTGGAAGAGTGGGGTGTGCCACTCTCTGGGAGCTATGGCAGAAAGGTAGGCGGACAGCCTCCTGATTTCACCCTGGAGGAAGGGGGTGGAGGAGGGGCCACTGCTGCCGATGAACCTCCTCTTTGTAACAAGAACCATTTCCTGCCCAGCTGCTGGTGGGCTCCCAGGACAGCCCTGGCCTCCTGGACGCTGGGAGGAGCTCACTTAGTTACGGGATTTGAATGAAACTTCACTGAGCCTGTAGGTAGGTTGGACTGGGGATTTGCTTGTGGCAAACTCAGCCTCAAAGTTCATGGAACCCGGCCGCTGCCTGAGTTCTCCGCTGCCTGAGTTCTGTCAGAGGAAAGGCGGCCTAGCGGTTGAATCCAAGGATGTGGCACTTTGGAAAGGGGAGTTCGGACTCCAGACCAAGTAACGCTTATGCACGATGCCAGCATTTCTGGACCAAGCGTGGAGCACTTAAGTCACGTCACTTCAAAGCCTGCCTCTTGGGGCGCCTGGGTGACTCAGTCGGTGAAACGTCTGCCTTCGGCTCAGGTCATGATCCCAGGGTCCTGGGATCGAGCCCTGCATTGGGCTCCCTGCTCAGCGGGGAGCCTGCTTCTCCCCCTGCCTGCCGCTCCCCCTGCTTGTGCTCTCTCTCAAATAAATAAATAAATAAATAAATAAATCTTAAAAAAAAACAAAGCCTGCCTCTTTTTCGGGTTTTTGTTTTAAAGAATTTATTTATTTATTTGACAGAGAGAAAGAGAGCACACGCAGGTGGAGTGGTAGGCAGAGGGAGAGGGAGAAGCAGACTGCCCACCAAGCAGAGAGGCAGGGAGCCCCATGCGGGGCTCGATCCCAGGACCCCGGGAGCACGACCCAAGCTGCATGCAGTGGCTCCAGCACTGAGCTCCCCAGACGCCCCTGTTCATGGGTTTGCCCCATCCCACAACCGTTCCCGTTGCTAGATGACCCCCTCGGAGTAGGCTGCTGGATGGGGCTGTGTGACGGGGTAAAGAATCCCACCTTTCTGAGTCCTCGTTTCTTTTTTTCCGAAATACAGTGAGCACTTGCCACCTGTGAACACTAGTATGAGACGAGACAAGATGCTCTTTGTCGGATACTTAGCGGAACCCGTGTTCAGTGAGAAATAGTCTCCTCTGGTAGGTGGAGAAACAGACTGGCCTCGGGTCACACACACAGAGGCAGAGATGGGGTCAGCAGCACTCCGCGCTCTTTCCCTGTCAAGACCACTGCCTTGTTTCTAGATGTTTGCGCGTGCCACATTTTCATGTGTCTGGAGGCCCTAAGTTGTGCGTTTTTAGCTTTGTTTGGTGGAAAAATTCACCCAACAAATAACCCACCATTTAAACCATGTTAAAAGGTACAATTCAGTGGCATTGGTACATTCATAATGTTGGGCAACCATCGCCACCGTCTAGTTCTAGAACATTTCACTACCCGACAGGGGACCTGCTATCCTTCCTGCTCTTTAAGTGAGCAGGGGTTTTTTGTACTTCTCAGAATTGTAACCCAAACTGGGGCCCTGCTCTGAGCCGGGCTCCGGGGAGGGGAAGGCGCTGCCGCGGGGCCCATGGCCCAGGCTCCCAGGAGGTGAGGCGCACAGAAGGGCTTCCCGCAGGAGGCTCGCTCCCCGCCGCAAGGGGACCCCAGCGGCCCGCGCGGCGCGGACGCCGCGGTGACCCCGCCGGGGCTCAACTTAAGTACCCACGTCGCGGCGGCTCCGACCAATCGGCGCCCGCTGCGGCCTCCGGCGCGCTCCTGATAGGGTCTGGCGACAGTCCGTCGGGAGGGCGGGCCGAAGCGGCGGGCGGGGAGAGATCTGGCCAATCGGCGCCCGCTACGGCTCGCTGGGCGTTTCCGGTAGGCCCCCGCGCCAGTCAGTCAGGCGGGCTCGGGGGGCGGGTCCG